CCAATAATGGATCTGTTTTCCTATTTCATCCTTTTTGTACCATTACATACCTCTTTAAATGCCTGCAATTCTGAGTTATATGTTCTTTTAAGAGTTTTACACATGGAACCCTGATTTAGCAATGAGTACCTGAATCTCTGCTAGAAGTAAAATATACACTTAAATAAACCTAAAATCAGGTTTTCCATATTAGCATAGTAGAATATTGTAATTTGAGGGAAAAAAGGGACTATACTGAGTGTGAAAGGATGCTTTTCAAATATGATCATGCAACATGTAGCAAGTCCTTGGTTTTAGCATCTATTCTAAAAATCAAGGCATAAGGTTATTTTGAAGTGATGTGTGTGATATATTTGACTGATTGCTGTGAATTTCAAAAACATATTTTTAGTGGGACCTGTGCTCTTAAGTTGTTTTGAAAAGTCATCCTAAACATCATACAATCCAAAACATCATATGCTGAGTTTAAATAATGAGACTAATTACAATGCCTTTATATAATATAATAATGTATTTTCCAGGAGGCTTTGAGTGAAATTCAGGTGAATGAAGGTAATTGGCAAAGGTCATATTGAATAACTGAGGCCAGAATTTGACTTTTGCAGTTAGGAAGCAGGAAGAACAATGATTTAATGGTTTGTCTGAAATGTTTAAAATTAAGACAATTTGGATATTTTAGACCAATAACTAGACCTGTTCCCTTATAAGCAATTTTTTTCTAACAAAACAGTATTTTTTTACTCCAGCTCAATTTTTGAAATTAGAAGATATTCTGCTAAGTATGGCTTTTTGGCACTAACTTTCAAAACTGCATTTAAAACATTTTACACTGAATCAGAAATCCCTTACCTACTAGGTTACTTCCGAACCCATTTAATTTTTAAGGTTTTTCCTAACATCTTTCCTTGAAAGATGTCAGATTGTTTAAACAGTCTCTAAGAAATATGCAAGCACTTCTTAAAGGCCATCAACTTGAATTCCTAAGTTGTGCAAGAGTGTAGTGGGCCAGTACCAGCCCCTACATGCCCAATTAGTATGGGATAAATCCGCTTAATTTAAAACTTTTGATCTTCTATCGCTCTCTTAAATGCTGCAGTAGACTTGTTCTGATAGGCTTGTACAATGTCCATCTGCTAATTAATCTTAAAAAGAGCTGGACATTATGTATTTAATATTCTCAGTCACGTTTCTTTGCAGTCTAGCTGCACAGGTGCAAAAAATCTGGCACAGCAATATGCTCAGCAGATGTGGCAGCGTCCTAGCCAGGATGAGGTGGGCTCTTGTTTCTCCCACAGTCTAACTTTTAGCAGCAGGTATGAACACAAATCCATGTAAGACAGGCTATTTGATGCACTGATCTCTTGAGATAAGTGCTCTTGATGCTCAGAAGGGAAGATCAGTTATAAATACGTCCGTACACTATATAATGTTTTTAATATATTGGGATATGTCCCTGCTCGCAGCAAGGGGTTTGGAACTAGGTGATCTTCAAGGTCCCTTCCAACCTTAACCATTCTGTGATTCTATAACCATCCCATTCTATGATATAAAGCTTGCTAACATTGATTTTTCAAAGTGTAATGCCATCTAGGGAAGAACATAATCTCATTTGCTCAGATTACAGTTTGTAAATTAATGCCATCAAGCAGGCAGCTTCATATTATGTAACTTTATGGAAAAGTTTGATTTGGATTTAAAGGACACAACTGAGTACCTTGTCCTATAGATTAGAACTGATTCCAGAGATAAATCAAAACTGCATGAACTGATAAAATTTTTGGTCGTGTTTTAAACAAAAATTTCATTTTAGAAAAAATTGTATTTTAAAAAACCCCTTCAAGCCTAATTATAGATTGTTATAAGCAAAGACCTCAGTCCAGCAACAGGCTTGCTGCCTACTTAGATCTATCCAAAATGCAACTGATGGAGTAGTAGTATCTCCTATGAAACCACTTTACCTATTTGTTGAAAAAAAAAAAAAGACATGGCTTTCCTCTAAATCGTATTTCCTTAAGCTTGATTTTTATGATGGCTTATGTGTAAAATGTGTGGATTTGTGAATTTGTTTTTCTTCTGAGGACCAAATACTTAGCATATGGCAGGAGTACCAGTGTGATTCTGTGCGTAAACGTAGCTATCCTACTGTAAAAGTTGTAAAAACACTAGTTTTATTATTTTTTGAATGAGAGCCATGATACCAAGGTCAAGTGTTTGCCAAGCTCTTCACAAGATCAAGACTCTTGTCCCTTTACAATACTTAAAGGACATCTTCTTGATTGTTTTCTGATACCTTATTCTGGCAACTTTGTACTCCACCTTCAGGATTATGATATTATTTCCATTCTATTAAAAATAATCTTTCAAGCTTTTATTCTTTGCAGTTTACTCTTACCAATATTCTTGCATATATTGTCGGTACAATTGACAGTAAAACTGCTAGAAAAAATACTTTTTCCATGAAAACCTATTACAGTGCGAAGTTCTCTGTGTGACACTATGGCAGTTAGAGCTGCTGGGGAGTGAACCTTTGTGAAACTGCGTTGACTTCAGTCAGATAAAGTGTAAGTAGAGAGTTTCCCTTGTGGATTTGACGGGGGGCATGAGTCTGCTTTTTCTGCCTCTGAAGTGTTTTACTCTTAGAGTGAAATAACTTTGTTAAAAATATCTGCAAACACACACCCTGACCTCCAGGAAAATAATAGCAAGAGAGTTATGTTTGTACACATACACACAGACCGTAGTTCAGACTTAAGAGTTCCTCCACCTTTCTTGGGTCGTCATTCTTGGATGGTATCTGACAATACAACAATGCTCATCCCAGTTTCACTCTCTGACTTCCTCACGGAGGCAAGGGCTTCCACATAACTCTCTGGAAGTTGTACAAGTTGCAAAGCAATAAGGATACGCTCAAACTGAAAGCAGTTTCTGGGTTTTAAAAACACAGAAGGGGTGCTTGTAGCAGCTGTTTTTGCACTCCTCGAGGGAAGAACAATATTAAGTGGAATTCTGGAATTAAATGTAACAGCAGTAGCATTAATAAATATGCATGCTTGCAACTGTTATGGCTTGGGTTTACTGGGTGATATTTATATTTACAAGAAAGTCTGGGAGCTCGTTCAATGGAGTATAGGTGCCTGCCAGTTGTGGCTAACACTTCCCTGTTTGCTGCTTGGGCTGCTGAAGGTGCAGGGCTGCTGTCTGCACCAATGCCCCATGTACAGGCAATATTACAGTAAACATTTTCTGTGAAACTAATGAACTTTCACTCCAGGCTTTGTTTGGGACGAGCTGTTAATCGCAGAGCTGGTTATGACATAAACCAAAGGTCACTCCTAGGTAGTGGTCCTGTGTTGGGTACTCTGAAACAGCAATGCAGGACTGGCAGACCGAGTCTAGAATATACTCACGTGATATGATGTAATGTGATTTCAGAGGTGGTCTGGGCAGTCAGTTTTGGACCAAAAGCTATTGCTTTGCCTTATTTAGGCAGTCACATCATGGGAACCAAGGACTGGTGATTATCAAAAATATCCCTGCCAGCATGTTGAGATAGGGCATCATGGTCTGCCTCATGGACAGTTAAAGGATTTAATAGACTCAGTTTCCCTGTATTTTGTGTGAATGTGAATCTTTCACTTTACAATGAATAGCAAAGAAGTGCCTGAAAATGGCGTTCAACAAAAAATCTTTATATTGTTTGCATATATTTTTACCTCAGACTTATTCATACCCTGAATTCTAGGTGAATTACTTCATTATTAAATGTAATGACCTTGTATGCAATCACACAACCTCTGGACTTTTTACTTCCATCTTCTAGAAATACACTGCTTCACAATACGCCCAAATGGTAGCAGTGTGTTGCGACTACCTTCTGTGCTGCCAAATATAGTGATGCATAGGAAGCACAGTAAGTTAGAGTTTGGCTGCCATGGGCTGCAAGGCAATGTGCACTCAGAACAGTTCATCAGTCTGAGAAAATACTTAGCACTTTGCTGCAGAAAAGCATACCTCTTTGACTGTTTTCCTCCTGAGACTGGTTGAAAAGGACTGATAGATAATCCTTCACCTTCCATTTTGCTGAGCCAAGTACAGGGGAAGTTGGCCAGAGTGTCTCGGTTGCTGCAGCCCATAAGAGAGAGGCTGGGACAGAAGGAGACGTGTTCTGTCTCTTCATTTGTCTGCTCTGGAAAGCAAATGCATGTGCTACAGATATGGGGAGAAAAGGACCTGATAATTAGCATCAACATCAGTTTGAGCTGGCAAAGTTATTTCAGCATCTGCTTGCAGATTTTCATGATCCATGCCGTCACTCTGGTACTTGGGAGTAGGAAGATTGAAATGCATTATTTATTTGGTTGTTAAAACTGATAACCTTACACGTATTTCCACAGGTTACTTTCAGATCACTATGGTGTATTTGTAATATTTTGTGCCTTACTAGACCGAGTAATGAAACTCTCACAGTCTGCCAAATCTGATCTCTGAATAGAACACAAGTTGTGGGCTTTTGTGTAGAGTGTGTATTTGATTCAAGGGTTGGAGACATGCAAATCCACTTGAGTTCAAATTCATAATTTCCTTAACTGCATAATGCTTCTCAGACAGGGTCTTAATAATCTAAGAGTTCAAAGAAGTTTGACTATGGTGTTCATGTTTAAAAGTGGACAAGAGAGAAACTCTTACTCCTTTGTTCCTAAAATATTTGTTTCTTGGCAGCACTTGTCTGGATGTATAGCAGATGTACTAAATATAACCTACCTATGATTTAATGCAGCACACATGTAGAAAATGAAAATAACATTAATGCAAGTTATTTTAATATGGACCATTGGGCAAAAGAAAGCACTGTTCTGATCTGGAGTACTTATGCTGTGATATAAATAGGTTTGAATTTCCAGGGCTGACAGTCTGGCAAAGTTCATTCGACCTTAATTTGTGGTGCACGACTGCTGAAAATAATGGCCTCACTAACATTTATTCTGTATTTCTGTTAATAGGAGGAATGCTTTTTGAATTTAGAAGCTCCTATTTCAAGAGTATGTGGCTATGACACTCCTTTCCCTCACGTCTTTGAGCCTTTCTACATCCCAGACAAGTGGAAATGCTATGATGCTCTTCGAAATATGATTAACTACTAAGCAGTAGTACAGGTGAGAAGTAATGTTTAATACTGACAGTTTGCCTGTAAGGATTCTGACAGAGTGATTGCAAGATTTGGGGCTAAAGTGCTACTTCTGTTTATTTATTTTTATAACGTGAATTGTCTCTTGTGACTTTGGGCCATATGGGTCTTAAAGGCATCTGAATATCTTTCAGCAGTGCCATTGCAATCAGTGTTCAAAATTAATTACTTTGCTTAATCAATCTGAAGATTAAATGTCTTGTATCCTGAGAAGTGAAAAGAACATAAAGTAAAAGGTGCAAGGACAGGAATGCATAGAATATATTTTAACCTATATTAGAAAACTTACAACTATTTCATAGTGTTAAATTTTATGATTTTTCTTCAGTGGTCTTGATCTGGTGAGTTACTAATAAGGCTCAGTTTACACCAAATATAGGTGCTGCATTGGAGAAATATACAGAGCATTGAAAATATATGTAGTATCTTGCAGTTATGTTCAAATACAATTATAAGGCTTATATTTAATATGTATTATAAAAATAATTTTTCTTTATCACCTTTTATATAATTTTGTGATGCTTGAAAATTTATGTTTGCGGAACCCTTCAGGCACCAAGTCTGTGAAATAATATATATTTATATTACGTGGCTATTAACCCCAGTTTGTAGCATCTTTTGTCTTTCACATAACACCCAGCAGCATTAGACTGTGCAGGGGCCATCCAGGACTTTGCGTTGAGCGTTGCCATGGGAGAACTTCAGGTGTTTAATGACCGAAGTTTGAACGTGTCAACGCTTTGTATTCTTTGCTTCCTTTAACTAAATGGATCAAGTGGCTTAGTTTTTCGGATTGACTCTTGATGGGTCTTGTACATCTGAACTAAAAAGAAAAGATGGCAACAGCCTGTTTTCCTTTGGAATAAGGAGATCCTGTAACAGGCCATCAGGGAATTTTTAGCTGTTGACACCAAAGAGGGGAGAGTCGAGGCAGAGCCTGTACTAGGGGCAACCACTTGTGTCCATTTTACCTATGTGTTAAGCTGTGACTTTAATTTAGGGTGAGGGATAGAAGGTTGTCAGTACCTGAGTGTTAATCTCATTTATATGTATACTTACTTTCAGAGCAACTTTTTGCCTTTCACTCTCTTTGTTTCCCTCAATAGCTGATAGTGGAGTACTTGAATGTGAAATAGGAATGCTACCAGTGACCCCTCAAAATAATGTAGTTCCACTTACAATATTTCACCTATTATTGACATACTGGAACGTTTCCTTAGGACTAAAAATGAAGAATGTTTTGGTCTTTTTTTGTAGAGTAGGTGGTAAATCCTCTCTTTTTCATTACAGTTGTCTTTGCCTTTTATCTGAGTTGAAGTAGATTTATTAAAGACTGACTTTCTTTTTTTGTTAGACACCCCTGTAATAAAGTCATTGAAGCTTTCCTAAAGAAAATGGATTGTATCTGCTCTTTGAGGTGAAGTACTGGGCCATGCTAGGTAGCCTCAATATTTTCCTTTCTGAAGGAAACCAAGGGACCAAATATTCTTAAGTCTGTGTAAGGAAAGGGAGAAAAAATAAAGACATTTAGTCATTCAAAGTCTTAGTTTAACCGCCATTCCTACATAAGATTGTAAAGTGAAGGAGCTATGAGAAGAAAAAAGGGAGTTCTGAGGTTGCGTTGAATTTGCATACAAGCCAGTTTCCACACTGGAAGTCCTCACTAAACCTTTCTGTAAAGGTCGTATGGACTAAAATGTGGAAAAGTCATCTACATTCATATTTAAATTTCTCCTGTGGGCTGCATCACATACAAATAACTCAAATATCCGAAGGCTCAATACACCACATCCTTTGGTTGCTGTGTCTAGGTATTAGTGTTACCGAATGAGCTGCTCAAAGGATTTTCTAAGAGAGAACCTTAATATGCCTTATTATAAAGCACATTTCATGGCAGTATTCCCTTATTCTTCTGTGTGCTGTAGTGGGTAATAGATCTTCATCCTGCCATCTACTCCACAGTTTGCCTATAAGGCAACACGCCTCTGTTTCTGAGAAACGGAATGATTGCTTTACATTTGCTTCTTTTTGCACTCAGTGTAACATTTATTAGTGACGTTACTCACCATCGGTCCATGCTGATGAGGTCAGTGTGTTCCAGATCACTTCATGTGGAGGGAGAAGGAGATATCTTTTCTAGGAGATGGTGTTACTGATGTTTGTGTGGGTTTGAGCACAGCCATAGTCTTCTATATGTTAGAGAAGCTGGGCCCCTTCTTGTTCTACTCCTGAGAGACAGCGGAGTTAGCAGTTCCCTGGGGTGAAGAGGGACGTAGAGGTGGCTTTTGAGGTACAAGCTGGCTAAGTTGTTGCTTGGGTTATGTTTCAAGTCAATTCTGTTAGATACAGCCTGGTGGCATAGCTGGCTGCCTTCTGCTTTTCCTCTCTTAATTGTCAACTTAGGTCTGTTGCTTTTGGGCAGGCTGTGGGGAAAAAAACCACAAGTGGTAATTGTCAAATATATCAATGGTATGTATGAGATTATACTTTCTAACACGGCCTGAAATCTCTGTAGTTTGAGTGAGAACCTACCTGCAACTTCGTTTCATGGGGTCTGCAGCAATGTGATTCTCTCCCCTTGTTACAGGAGAACACCAAGTTGTATAATGTTTTGTAGACTACCACTGTTTGAAAGTTCTCTTCAGACCTGTAAACAGGTTTTGTATTAAAGCATGGGAATGCTAACTCCAAATTTATTTTTATGAGTTATATTACACTTTTCTTAAAGTTATTGGTGTGTCAAAATCTCGCTGTCCTTATTCACATGGGTTAGTATTTCTCACTTAACAAAGAACAAATTCACATCTTCTTTAAAAAACAAACAAACAAAACTTTCCTTTGAAATACGTTTGACTGTGTGCAAAAATGTACCTCCTAACCAGAAAGGCTCCTGTCAAGTACCTGAATTAATGTAATACTTTTGTATCTGAGGCTAGTGCAGGGTCTCAAGCCGGGTGCTACAGTCAATCATTTCTAAACTTAGCCTGATTATCTTAGTGTACATTTGGTTTTATTCAGCCTTGGTTGACAGTGTCTCACACATGCAGAATTGTTTTTCTTGAGATTGACAATACAGATGGTTTTCCTGTACAAAGACAGCGTTTGACAATGCATACTGTATACCTCACTGATGAGACGGGCAAGAGCAAAATCTGTATCTTTCAGCAGCTTCTTAGTTATTAACATTTATAGATATGTTAGCTGTAAGAGAAATAGCTTCCAGGTAGGCAGCTGTATTCCAGATAGCTCTTTGTAGTTGGAAAAAAAGATGAAGAGAAAAGGAGCAGTGAGATTAGGATGGATATACATTTCCTGGATAGATGGAGTGGTGTCTGGCTGTTCATTTAGGGAGGGAGAAAAAAGAGGGATAATAGAAGAAACAGAAGAAAACAATCACAAGTTTTGTAAAATATACACTTGTATATAAATGTATTTTATGTACACAAATATATTGAAGGGTAGCCGTAGCATATAAATGACAAATAAGCCAAGTACTTTTCTATTACTTTTTTCTGCTTTTTCTACCACACTTGCTTATTTTGTTTTCTTGTTAAATTCTGACTTTTAAAATTGTACCTGCAAGATTACAATTTACCTCCATGAAAGTGTGTCTGTATATGTAGAGACACCATTACTATTACAAATTTAGTCTCTAAAAATACAAAGTTATCACACTGAACTTCATTGTAGAACTAATTACTGGAAAGTTTAATCCTGGCGATTAAAGGTTAGGCCTTGTTAGGGGATGACGGTGGGTTCACTTAAATTTATTTTTCTTTCCAAGCCCATTTTTGAAGTTGTGTTTCAACATCCAATATAGTTTGCTCAGAACCAGTTGCCCCAGTTGGGAGAGACTTGCAAATGACATCAGTGCATTCCTTTTCTCAGCCCATGAGTTGTGCTGGGAAGCACAAGGGACTTGGTAGATACTCTGCTTAGTACCAGTCTGTTCTTTGCACTCCTGGTTATTAGGCAGAGTTTCATACAGGTTAACCTGAGGCACAGGAAAAATATCATTCCTCTCCCTGTTTGGTAAATAAAATATGAGAGACTGCAAGATCAATTCTTTTTAACTTGATACTTGCAATTGGGTTTTTTTTTTCAACACAGAATCCCAAATGTGGCAGGCCAGACTGACTGCCTTTGATAATGCACTGTCTATAACCCACTAGAATAAACAGTCTGCAGAGGCTCGATTAGGACACAGCATTCCTGTTTATAATGTTTTCCTGCTGGATGACAAAAATAATGCCAATAGTCAGTGAATCATGTCTTATTCACAACCAGTGAGTAGTCCAAATACAAGAATAGTTTGCTTTAAGTTATCTACCATTGCTTTAAGTTAAGTCTGTCAGTATGGCTGCTGCAAGTCTATGCTTGTATTCAGACCTTGCTGAGAATTCATGCAAGATCAGGAGTAATGAAATTACCTTTAAAAAACCCCTATAAAAAAGAAAGGAACTGACTATAGTTTTTTTACAAGCTCCTTCTTCACTGTAATAGTAGATTGGCAGTATATCTAGTAAAACTTTAAAAACAACATATCACACTTGGCTTAACATGCTGGAGTGGGATGGAAGACACTTCATCATCAAGTTTTTGTGTAAATGGCAGCAAGTGATGTTGCCTTGACACTAGATATCAATTGCAGCATGTATAATTTCTGTCTGTCTACCTTAGCATCTTAAAATTGATATAGTTTTTAATAAGTATTTTGTTGACACACCTTGAGGTAAAATGACATTATACGTTTTAAAAGTAAGATTACCATGGAGAGTGCTGTGCATTTAAGTTGTGGATCTTACTTTCAGCCTTAAGATTTGTGACTTATTTTGTCATTTTCTTCTGCAGAGATTAGAAGAACAACAGGGAAATACAGAAGCTGCCTTCAAAGCTCTTGACACTTTACTCAGACGTTTTGGTTTGGAATTCACATAGCAGAATTCAACTATCCTTAATATTCATCTTGGATATTATTGAGAAAGGTCAAATCTTCCTTAATTATGAAATCAATGCTGGGCAGGTGATTGCTGTAATAATTAGTTTCAGATGTATTCAAAGGTATTCCAGATGTCTTACATCTGTTACACATTGCCGTGCTTCACTAGGTTACATCTTTAAACTTCACTGTGTAAATATTAGAAGCAGAATTTTATTCAATAAAATGTATTATGCACATGTTGTCTCTTATTTTTGTTATTGTTTTGTGAAAACCCAGAGAAGTTATTTGAACATGGCTGTATTTTCAACAAAATTAACGTGAGACAGCCAGACCAGCTTTAACCAATGTCATTAGATGTCTTTCAGCTGAGTGGCTTGAGGTAAAATAGTCCCGGATACACATATCCCTTTCTGCAAGCAAAATGACAACTTCATTTTTCTTGAGAGGGGAGAAGAGAGAAGAGATTTTTTTGCTTTGCTGCTATAGGTGAGAGGCTCCATTGGTACATCTTTGCTGCAATATCTCTATTTAGTCTGCTGCTAAGCAGCTGTGCAAAATGTGCCAATTTATCAAGAAAAGGTAACGGTACCCTGACATATTCATGCCAGTGATGGGAGGAAAGGCAGCACATGTACCATTTTCTTTTGGTGGGGAAATAGATAATTACCAGGAAGACTCTACTATAAAATGAAGTCTGAATGTTTATTTTTTCTGTGCTAATATAAAGGACAGTGAACATCCATCCCTAAGTGCAAAAAAGGAGTCCAGCGTTTTAGACTGAGAGCTTCTGAGCTCAGTGGAGGTTTGCTTAATTTTTAATAATGCTCTTCTTTTCCATATGAAAAGCCAAGGACACAGCAAAGATGTGAAAATTATCCTCTCTTGTCCTACATTCCAGGACTGCTCAAAGGGCAACAGATCTTCTTCCAACACAGTAGTTTCAAAGCTTATTACTAAATTCCTTTGGTACCAGCTCTGCTCAGTTTTCCACCACCTAAGTTAAGTGTGAATTCAGCAGTTCCTAGTCTTTTTGGTCACTTTGCTATCTGTACCAGTCAATCTCATGCTGCATTGCTTCTTGTGATATGGGGGACGAAGGGGAGGGAATGAGAAGATGTATGCCAGTAGCCAGTTAACTACATTTCCATTGAGGGGGATATTTCAAGGAGAAGAGAAAATATTGTTGCACACAAACCTTCTCAGGGCAGTCCTCAAGATGATGGCTGGAACAGGCCAGGGAGGATGCTCAGGTGGATAACTTTGCTTTGAATGTCGGTGGATATTCCCCCCATGGCTCTCCCTTGCCCATTCTGATCATCTGGGAGGTTGTTATTCGAGCTGAAATTCAAGGGAAATCTGGCCTTTGAGACAATGTCCTTGATACAGGCTGTTTAGAAGGGTCTGTAGTGATAGGTAGGGCAATAGTTTTAAACTAGAGCAGGCTAGATTTGGATGAGACATTAGGAAGAAATTCTTTACTACGAGAGTGGTGAGGCACTGGCACAGGTTGCCCCGAGTGGTGGTGGAGGCTCCATCCCTGCAGGCATTCAAGGTCAGGCTGGATGGGGCTCTGAGCAACTTAATCTAGTTCAAGATGTCCCTGCTCACTGCAAAGAGTTGGACTAGATGGCCTTTAGAGGTCCCTTCCAGCCCAGAATATTCTAAGATGTATGTTGGATGTGGGATTA